AGTGTGGCCCACACACCTTACAATAATCGCGGGAAATCCCGTGCAACCTCTACTACTGTAAGGTCGCACGACTTTTAACTTACGAACATGTTGGAAAACCCGCCGAGCATCATACGATGTTCGGCGGGTGTGTAGCATAAAAGCCGGAAAGGCCGGTGTGCGCAAGCGCACACTGCCTGTTCGGCATTGCGGTCATCGGAAGCCCGCCCCTCAGGAGGGCGCGGCTTGCGATCATCGCAAGTACGATCTGCCTGTCCAAGATAGGCAGATCGTACGTTTTTTTACTACGGGCGGACGGCAAGAGGTTAAGTACCTTACAACCATCGCAAGACAAAAGTGAAGTGAGCGAACGCATACACTTTCCGATCATCTCCCTGCAGAGAGTGGTGACTGCCAGTCACCGATCCCCGCAGGAATTCCCTCCTCCCCTCCAGCGCTGACTGGATGAACAGACGGGGGAGTGTACAGCCAGCTGTCACTAATGGGAGGTTAATATGTGTCCTCCCGTGACCCTTAAGAGAGCTATAGGAGCCATAGTTCTCTATTAAAAAGTAATATCCACTCAAGGGGGCACCATTTCAATGAATCAGCAAACTGGCTTTTTATATGGTACAGGGTTCCTAGAAGGAGATCCTTTATTGTAATGAATTGTAATCTGGCCACGTAAAAATGTTTGTGGTTATACAGCATCAGGGACATAATTTGAATCCTACGTCCTCCTGGCTGATGGTTCCTGTAGAAATCCTCCCTTCAGTGATTCTGGACTCTCTTCACAGTGATGATTTTTTGGTGCTCTACTAGCTTCTGCTGTAATAGTGAAGGAATTGACACCGCTCGCCCTCCCCTTCCACCAATTCACAGAATTCCTTGCAGTCTTTTAACACAGTGCAAAGCATTCCGTTAGTGGAATGGAGGCAGATGAATGCAAGCATCCCCCTCCACTACTCAAAGAACACTTTGCATTCTGTGAAAAGGAGGCAAGGGATTCTGTGCATGGGCGGAAGGGGAGGGCCAGCTTATCAGATGCCTTCACTATTAAAGCAGAAGCAGTTAACTCATACAGCAGCAGAAGTTCACTGTTGTGAAGAGGATTCAACATCACTGAAGTGAGGATTTCTACAGGATCAATCAGACAGCAGGATGTAGGATACACTTAGAGATAAATGATGTACTTAGTGCTGTATAACCAAATTCTGCATCATGTAATAATTACCCCCATGTTTTTTTTTTTGTGCAGAGCCACAAGACCAAAACCGATTTCTTCTTAAAACTTTTTAAATGCGGTCATGTAATTTGGCTTGCTTTCTAGCCGATAACATCACTTGCATGGATTTCTGATTATACTATAAGTATTGGTACAAAACCGCTAATGTTAATTCAAACAGTGATCTTACAAAGCTTTGGTAAATGATGGAGAAATAGCTCACCTGACTCCGAGACTTTAGTCCCTGAACTCCGGGACTTTAGCAGTGAGTTCTCTGCTGTGGTTCTTATGAATGGTTCCCACACTCTCCCTGTTCTATTTTTTTACTTTATATAATGAAGAATTAAACAGGAGAAGCTCATCACGTAATCACCTTCATACCCATTTCACAATGCATACCACAACAAACTATACATGCGTGTATGTTTTGGTGTCATTGTTTAATGGCACCCCAATGCACTAAGGGAACATATGGTAACACTAACATGCAATGCGGTATGCTGCAGGTCCAATTTTCTGTCCGTTGTGGTGCACTAGCAGCCCCTTGAAATTGACTGCTTTAAATGCAATGCATGTCAACCTGTGACATAATGCAAGTCCGTTAAATGTACCAGTTAGGCGTGAATGGTCCTAGAACTTCCAGGTGGCCAAGGACAAAGCCTAGGACGACTTGTATCCAAGAAACATACATATAACTTTTTTTATTATACTTTATATTTGAAATTGTTATATTGCTATTTAGAGTGTGCTGCAGTCTTCAAACAGGGAAACTAGTGCATTAGCGATGCATTTCATTAATTGTAGACCCTGGACTCATAGGGTTTAAAGAGGAACTTCACCCTTATCCTAAAAATGATAACAAAAGGCACCTTCAGAAATATTTAGTAATGGCAAACTATAAAACAGATACTTATATATAATTTCAGGTGTTTTATTCTTTGCATTCCTTATTTTTGTTTTCCACCCCATTCTTCGCACAGCAGCTATTTTTACTAAGGGCAGATGTATCCATCTCCCTTTACTTCCTGGAACTCCGGACATATGATTGGAGCATTCACATCATCTCAGGGGAAAAAAATCCCTTTCCTGAGATCTTGAGAGATTTTGCAGTTTACCAATGAGATTTCCCAGCAATGCACAGTGATATAGCCATCCCAGGTTGCATCTCTTATAGCCCATGCCTATCACTAATGCCAAAAAGGACCAGGAAGTGGAAAAATAGTAATTGTATGTAGAAGAAAAATGTGTTTAGCTGAGGAATCTAAAATGGTTTCATATCAGCATGCAGAGCTGAATGCTGATGTAATTTTTTGTGAAAGCGGCTAAAGGTCCACTTTAAGCAACTTAGTGTTAAGGTTATAAATTACACATCAAAACCATTAGAACATCAACATATTGTACAATGATATCACATGGATATATCTGTCCTGTAAAAGCAAACCTGAAGTAATGAAGACGATAGTACACCACTGTAAAAGCAGATGCTTGTGCTACAGGTCAGCTCTCCTATGGAGCACCCAAGGAGCCCAAATCTGCAATGCTTTGATATGCAAATTTAAGCCATCTGGCTCTGTCGCTTCATGTTTATATTGGTCAGTGACGGTGCCCATCACAGTGATTGGCCAATAGAGAGGTGCAGAAGGTGGGGGATGAAATTTGCATGGACAATTTACCTAGCATGAAGGCAAATGGGGCACCTGCTGCCATTTGTAGTGACATTTTACCAGCTTTTTTGTAACCATCGGTTTGCATTAAAGTGACATTAAACTTAGGAGTTAAACCTTAAAAGTACCCTATTAACAAAAATGTATCTTATTTGTGTATCACTCAGCTGTGGATCCTCAAATCATCTCTGAATTCTGGAGGGTGGCTACTTTTGTTTCCCATGGTCCCTGTGTGTGTTGTAAAGTAGCCACCGCTCCAAGCTATATTCTCACTACAAATTATTAAACTATATGTGAGATTGTAGTCCATCACAGGAGTGAGCTTGGATCGGTGGACACTTTACACTAGAGGTGCACCAAAATGAAAATGTCAAAACTGAAACGAAAAAAAGTCAGGCCGAAACTGAAAATGTTTTTTTTTTTTTCTTCCAATCTTTTCAGTGGCTCTGGGGTAATATTGGGGGTCTAAACAGACCCCTGATATTACCCTTATAAAATAGAAAAAAAGAGATTGAGGACTGTGTTTTTTCTTTTTCTGCAGCCCCTGTTATAAATGAACAGGAATCCTCTATACCAGTGGTTCTCAACCTGTGTAACCTCAGGACCCACATTTGTCCTCGGTTATTAAGTTGCGACCCAAGTTGCAATGCAATGGAATGCACGGCATTGCGGTACCGCACAGGCCCGGGCGATTGAACTGTGGGCGGGAGGTGCGTTTGGGGTGCCATTCAAATGAATGACAACGCAAAGCACCTCCCACACTGTAGTAGGTGTGATTGCATGGTACAGTGCGTTAGTCGCACAGGATTTTTCGATTAACGCTCTGTACTAGTGTAAATAGACCCTCAAAAACACTGACAGACACACAACCACAGATCCACCCAGTCTCCCTACCTTACGAGAACTGAAGTGGATCCTCAGTCTGGGTTCAGTGTGGGCTGCTGTGCTGTGACAGAGCTCCATCCATATGTGCAATGCTTGTACAACCCCCTTGCGCGCCCTGTAGAAATAGCGGGAGCCAGAACGTGACGCTACTCCGGTCCAGGCACCTCTACAGGACATGTGAGGGAAGCTGTAAGCAATGCACAAATGGATGAAGCTCCCTCGCAGCCATAGCCCCATCCCATCTCACCTAAAGCTGACACTCTGCGCCAAGCAGCATATAAATGGCTGCTCGGAGCGAGAACTGACAGTGCTGTGTAAGGGAGGGCTGAGAAGCCTCTCACCTAGAAAAGTGGAAGGCACGCTGTGACCCACTGAACACGGGGTCACGACCCACCAGTTGAGAACCAAGGCTCTATACCGAGTGTTCCTGTTCATTCATAACTTGTGGAGATAGTAAGTTTACCATGTCCACAATCACTTCCCATTCATTCATAATTGGGGCCGCAGTAAACATACTATGTTCTCAAGTATTTACAAACACTCATCGATCACTGATCGCTTTGTAATGAATGCATTTCTAAGATTTAACTGGAGTTTAGTGTCACTTTAACCGTGTTACTAGCTTGACAGCTACATTAATCGCGTATCTTTGTACAACCCCCCAATAAAGTAGACCATGTTTGTAAAAAAGAAAAGGATTTTGTTTATTTTACATATTGATCTCCTGTTGCTCCAACAGGCATCATGTTTAACATAAAAATGGATTTAAATGTATCAATCAGTAAGCTCCCCTTCCCGTTAGATATGCATCATCACAATCATTACTCATTTAATTTGTTACTATACAAATGATATTACATGATTGATGTTTAGTAGTGAAAAGAATGACAGCCAGTCAGACTGCCAAGCACTGATGCTCCTTTACTTAGTACAGAAACGTACAGAGTTTGAGTTAAATTAGCGTGAAAAGTCTTATAAAAAGATACAATTCCATAATTTTTGTATAAAGCCCTTTAAAAAAAAAAAAGTCTCTTTTTAAGGAACAATGTTGTGATGGCACTGCTATTAAAAATAGGGAAAACACATGTGGGGAATTGTAAACAAAAATATAGTTCCCCATTACCAAAGATCTAAACATATTTGCCAACAATCCTAAATAAATCAGTAAAATGACGGGGCTTTGTGGAAATGGGTGGGACAAGGGTCCGATGTTAAATTGGAAATGTTAGCAAGTATGCCTGGAGGTATTGGAACTGATCTTTGACTTTTCTAGACTGTGGTGTGTGAAATGTAGAATGGGAAATACAAGTTAGAATTGTATGTTTTATTGTTAGATAAACATATTAATTAACAAGTAAATGAAATTATAAGAAAAAAAAAAAAATTATTGCCAGATTTGTGTCAGTTGTAATTGTGAAACTTTGCACAAGCGTGTTTGTCTGGCCAGCTTGGCAATGCCGACCTTGCGCTTTAACCACAGTAAATAAACCATGTCACAATACAGTCATTTAAAGCATTCACATTTTGCTCCAGTCACCTCACACTTATATTAGTCAAAGGTAAGCCAAAGTGCCATCACTGAAATCCCTGAACTACAGGAAATTTCCCCAATAGTGTCATAGATGTGTGATTCTGATTATTTCTTACAAATAAAAAGTCACAAAAATAGAATAAAAAAATTGTATCAAAAATGCATGAGATTGCATACATGATTATCTGCATTTTAAATAACCATTAGCCACTCCCGATTTCCATTAGCGGTATGAGGGAAAAAAAGGAATCACATTAAATGCATATTAAATATTTTTGGATACTGCCTGATGTTAAAACACCACTTCATGTCTTGCAGGCAGTCTTAGGCAATTCAATTGTCATTCTAAAGAGAGGTTCAGTACAGACGAAAAGCCTCTGGAGGCAGGTTCAGAGACTCTGCAATAAACTCAGATAATGTGGTAACTCCCCTATATGACAACAATAACAGCAACAAAAAGGGAGATGTATACCCTATTGGAACTGAGTATTAGTAAGGTCTAAAATTAACACGCAGTGTTTAGCCTTTTGGTGATAATGGGGCTACAAAAAACCTAATTACCAATTCCCTTCACTTCATCCATGGGCATAGTAGCAAGTGGAAGGCAATGTATTTTCAAACTGTATATCTCAGCATAGGATGTATATATAAAAAAAAACATGACATCATATTGACCAGGAATGAAATGCTTGGTCCAGTGATGAGCCCCTATTTGATAATCCTGAAATGTTTGATCAAAGTACAACAAAAGAAAACCTGTATTAAAAGAGCGGGCTGAACATTGTGTTCTTAATGGCTTAACCAACCATCCACACCACTGATGACCATTCTTTGGGACCTGCTCTGAATCACATGATTTGTCCATTTCGTTTGCAATACTTTCAAAGTGGTTATGTGCAACTGTATTTCCAATTCGCCATAAGCATGCAGAGTGATAAAGACTCTCCATTCCCCTATAGGAACAAGTAAGAACTTATGCAAAGTCTCTTGTATACTTTTGGCAAGTATTGTGCATTTTATGGTTAGTCTCCTTCTTATAGATTGTCTCCGGGTTGGTACTGTGGCTCTGTTGCTGTAAAGTAGTCTTCTAAAAATGACTGAATATATTCAAAGGTTGGCCTCTCATCTGGGTCCTTCTTCCAACACAGCTTCATTAATTCATGTAGGGACTCTGGGCAGCCTTGAGGGCAGGGCATTCGGTAGCCACGCTCCACTTGCTCCAGCACCTCCCTGTTCACCATCCCTGTGAAAAGAATTTCATATAGTTAACCAAAAGATATTTAACAAGAAGAATGGTTTGGGGTGTACATCTGGGTACATTTAGGAAAAGTCCAGCTGTTGCTTGTGGAATATGTTTAGATTCCATATTTACTTTTACAGTGCAGGTTAGAGACAGGAAATCAACTAGATCTCAAAGCAGTGGTCTCTTCAGACATGGAAAGCACTTAAAGAGAAAGTGCACCTTTAGAAAACAATAAAAACAAAGTAAACTCCCAGTTATCCGGCAGCCATGGGGATCTGTAGATGCCGGATAGCTGTAGTTTCCGGTTGCTTGAGAGTAGTTCTCAAGCAAACCCCTCCTCCCTTCATCTGCCAGCTACATTCCACAGGCGGCAGGTGAATGTAAACAGCAGGCAGTGGGCGGGAGCAACAGCTAGACTGCTATTGGCTGTCTACTGCACCCACACACTGAGCAGAGGAGCAGATCTGAGAGAAAGTTCTCTCTCAGGTCGGTGGGTGCAATAGCCAGACTGCTATTGGCTATTTCAAATTGCAATAACCAATAGCAGGCTGGCTATGTCACCCACTGAGCAGAGGAGTGTACCCGAGAGAGAAAGTTCTCAGTGATCAGTGTGCGTGTATAATGCTCTGGCTTCTGCAGACATCTCCTCCATTCCCTCGGTACAGATTTCAGTTACAGGGACGGGAGAAAAATGCATGGACTACATGTGCGGTTAAGGTACTTGAATGCATTTTTAAGATTTAACTCCTGAGTTTAGTGTCACTTTAAGGATCTCCAATTCAGACGGCTTCACATTTCTCCTGTAGAGTGCTGCAGCTTGAAGAGATCTAGATAATCTGCTTTAAGTGCTTAACGAGGACAATACATGTTTTACCCATGGTAATAAATGGCTCCAACAAATGCAAGATAATGAAGTTTGACATTTCTACATACAGAGTGAGTCACATAACATCCTGCAGGCTATGTACCACAATGTAATATCTTTTGAAGGTGCATTACTTTAGACTACATCCATCATGCATTGCTAGACTCAGAGCATTATATCAAATGGTAAATGGACCATTGATGCATCTGTGGTTTATCCAGCATCCTTCCGCTGGACATAACGTAAAGTGGTGCATAAAAGGCTAATGTATTACCCATGCAAAGGACTTTTAAAAGTCTTACTTGTCAGGCTGCTGTCCACATTATCTATATTCAATTTGCACAAAATTAATTCACTGTTTTGTGTGACACAAACTACACTGTAGATATCTACTTCCTGGAAATGTTTTATGTGCATAGACTTAAACTAGAGGGAAAATATGCAGCAAACAAACACATTGGGGGGAATCTATCAAAACTGGAGCAGCTGTGCATGGCAACCAATCAGCTGCTATCTTTCATTTTCAAATCCTAACTGAACAAACTGAAGAGAGATGCTGATTGGTTGCCCTGGGCAAGTGCTCCAGATTTTGTCTGCTCCAGTTTTGAAAAATTCCTCCCAATTGTCTTGTTAATGTAACATTTACATAGACGTATTTATGACAAAACGTTCCCACTTTTCCTTGAATACTGTTCAATAATCTGATTATTTAATGTTCTAAACAGATTTGTAAATGCTCCCTCTAGTGAAAAACAGAAAACCTTGGCAAAACACAGAAGAAGGAAGGCAACCAGCTATGGGATATTGTACCTGGATATGGCACTCTTCCTTTGGTGACCAGTTCTGTCAAAAGAATACCAAATGACCAGACGTCAGACTTGATGGTAAATCTGCCATACAAAGCAGCCTCAGGAGCCGTCCACTTGATGGGAAACTTTGCACCTAAATTGCCACAAATCAGATTGTGAGTCTCTGTTTATAAACAAGTTAATACATATTACATTAATATATACATAAGCCTTTCATCTGGCACCAATGTCTTTCACAAAATGAGCGAGAATGAGAAAATGGACATTCAGAAACAGAATTTATACCATTCATTGCTTTCGCTTTATTTTCTGCCCTAAAGTCAACAGTAAACATTATTCGTTTTGAGTCCATTTAAAAAAAAATAATGTTATTTTACAAAGAATAATAATTTATAACACGATAGCTCAATATCGCTAATTTTTTGAAAGCATTATTTGGGGCAAGTCGTTTTTTGAGAGTGCGGGGGGGGGGGAGAGTAAATCCCCATTTCTTCAACTTCGGCTCTAAACTCATACAAAATCCAAAACTGACAGTGTAGCAAAATGTTATTTCATTCAGATAATTCACCTTGTCTTGCTGTGTATTCGTTGTCTTCTATTAACCTAGCCAGACCAAAATCAGCAATTTTGCAAACAAGATTGTCTCCCACTAGGATGTTAGCAGCTCGGAGGTCTCTATGGATGTAGTTCATCCTTTCTATATAGGCCATACCATCTGCAATCTACAAAATAATAAAATGTAGGGAACATTATTAACCTGTTAAATGCAACAACAGTAAACATAACGTAGTGAGGGGAACACAGCATACACTTACCTGTGCAGCCATATCAACAAGCTGTGGCAATTTCAAATACTTCCCATCTCCTTCTTTGAGGAAGTCCAGAAGGCTGCCTGTTTAAAAACACAGAACAAACTGACCTGTATCTGGCTCCATTGCTATCCAACAACAACAACCTCTCAAATATTCATTCTTATACAGAAGATAATCAAACCAAAATTCAGGATATGGACCGTGACTGAATTGATTAGCCATTTTTTAACCAGGATTCTGGGGTTCCTCCAGAGGTTTCTATGATTTCCTTCAGTAGTGAGCAGTGGCAGACTGAGCTCCCACCAGGGCCTGCATAGTTCTGGAACCAGTATCACTCAATAGAACCAGCAACATGGTCACGTAAGAAACCACAAAAACCAATACATTTTTTAGTGGTCTGTAAGGGTGGAAGTCCTTCCGTGGGCTACCAGTGTGTGAGGGCACTTTTCGGCTAGCCAACAATATAAAGGGGTATTTCTTCGCTGACGACCAATGTAACAATTTGCGGTGCGTTTTTATTCTCTGAACTATATTATTTCTTTAATATTTTGATTATAATTTCAAATTTAAATGACAGTACAAAGCAGGGAAAGGTAAAAAAAACAAAAACATTTGGGACCAATATGTTAAGTATGCCACATTATTTTCTTCATTATAGATAATGTACCACGAGCTGTAGATATATTATCTGGGTCTCCCTGACCCAGTATATGGCCCTAAAATCTAGAGGAACCTTATATAAAAGGGGCTCCAGTGAGTGCGAGGGGAAAGATTTATGGTGGATCAGAGCAAGTTCAAAGGTTAAGCCCATGGCACACTTGCAATCCTGTCACAACTTGCCAGCAGCCTGGTCACTAGAAAGTGCAAAGAAAACAGTTCACTGGCCAATGGGTGAGGATTTGCTCTCACTTGGACAGGAACGCTGCCAAATGCCACCTGCCATTGACAAAGCGACACCTAACTCGTCTGGCCATAGAAAGAGCAATGGGGAATAGGTCTCTATATTTCTGCATAGCGATCCGGTCATTGATGAGATGTTGCCAGTGACAGGATTGATAGCGTGCCCTTGCTAAATCTTTCAGTATAAGTTTCTTTTTCTTTAAATAAAACACTTAGATTGTAGTGGTCAAAATCATCCAAAGGATTAAATATTAAAGATGAAAACATTTTCTCATTACATAACAAAGTTCATGAAAATTAAGGATTTTTTAAATGAAGCAAACCTTTTGACATGAATTCTGTTACAATGTAGATCGGCTCTTCTGAAACCACAGCATACAGAGGGACTAGTTTGTCGTGCCTTAGCTTTTTCATTATCTGCGCTTCTTGTAGGAAAGCTTCAGGCATCATTGTTCCAGGCTTTAGTGTTTTAATGGCTACTTTAGTTGTACCATTCCAAGTTCCTAGAGAGGAAGAAAAAGGTAAACAAAAAGCATGTTCAGAATTCTACTAAGCAGAAATAAAACAGAAACAATGATATATCAAGGGAGATTAAAAGTGAAATTGACACATATATATATATTAGGGCTGGTAATGATTAAAATTTTCGTTTTTTTTTTAAATCGATTAATTTCGATTAATTATAACGCACATTCAGATCCAACTACATTGGCCTATACACATACAGCACAGCAATGAAGTCATAAAATGAACTAGGATCACACTAATCCAGCACGTTATTAATCTCACGTGCCCCACTCAATATGGCCGCCGCTTGAGTGGGGCAACTCAGAATAATAACGTGCTGGATTACAAATGTATTAACCTAGTATAGTAAAACAGCAAAGCCCTAAGGGTGATTTAAACATAAGTATTAGCTTAATATTTGAAATAGACCTAGTCTTACTTAAAAAGAACCACCATTCAATGCACATAGAAAGCTAATAAACATCACAGAGGAGCAAAACTATACTTGAAGAAAGATTTCCCTGCTAAAACCCATGTGCAGAAATGTAGATCAAAGAATCATCTGAGTTCACTGAAGTTTGGTAAAGACTAGGGACTTTTTTGAATGCTACTGAAGTATAGAACTGCTTTCTACCACGTTTCAAAAGGCAACATTCTGACATGGTCTTCTTCCACATAACAAATATCGCACGACTCTTCACAAATAGATATTAAAAACAGAGGAAACTGAATGTTTGCAGATTAACCCTACTACACTAAATAGGGAAGTGGATGGGTGTTCTGTAGTCCTTGCACTCTTCTCATCCTTGGCAAACAATGTTCCTGCTATCCTAGGACTGCAAGTGTGTTACTGACAAGATCACCAGGTGAAAAGGGAAACAATAAAAAAAAAAACTTAAAAAAAAGGGCACCTGATCCAACGATTTTTCCTCCGACAAGGTCCCGGCCAATGAATGGGGCCACAGCATGCTGGTGCAGTATGGTGTTAAATTAAAAAAGCTACCATGATACCTTACATTGCTGAATTTATTTTTTGCCCAGTGGGACAGGAGCTTCTTTCTAATAATTTTTTGTTTTGTAACTTCTGTTTCTGGGAAGACATTGCACATTGTATGAACTTCTATAGGTTTATATAAGCAGGGCTGTGCCTATTCAGGCTGCAGAAACACTCTGATGGGTGAAGTTGTAAATAACTCAACTGAATTGAATATGGTGTTCTGAGGACACCAGGTTACTAGTGAACAGATGATCTATGAGGAAAATCATGGAAACAGACAAAAAAAGTTTTGGGAAGTTGGCTACATGCAACTCATATTTTAAAGCCGTTCAAAACTCTGGATTATTTTTGCTGGGTGGCGTGACCATTACATTTGGAGCCTGATAAAAGTGAGTGGCTTCACAGCCGTGAGCTTGTTTTAACTGCCCGACTTCCATGACATATAGGACACATCCTTGGCAGTCAAAGGTTAATGGGGGGTACTCATGGATTTACAAAAAGGAAAACCAAAAGCAAAAAAAAGTTAAAACTTACCCATCCATACTTCGCCAAAGCATCCCTGACCCAGCTTCAGTTCAAGTCTCAAAGATTCTCTAGGAATTTCCCAAGCATCCTTTGCTAATCCCTGGGTTTGTGGTTTCACAGTAGGGCACACAGTTGTTAACCTATAGCACAAGCCATCAGCATGTTCTAGAAAATAAGAAATACATAATTTGTAAAGCCGGATAAAGTTTACAATGTGTAGGTAAATATGTTGCACTCCAGAATTTTGTAAAGTACTAACATCAATAAAAGAGAAAGGGTTACACAAAAGATGTATGATAGTCTTTAACAAAGGTTGTTGCTTCTAAATCTACCACATTCTGTAATGAGTTTAAATGCTTTTAGGTCAAGTGCTACTACAAGAAAATAGCGAAATAACGAGCGTCTCAGAACTAAATGTCCTTCATATATTGTTTTCAGCTTCCAGAATTGAAGGGTTAACAGAACCCTGTCCAAAAAGGCAAATTACCAATGAAATGGCCCTATTACCTGAGTAGTGTTTTACAAGCTTCTGCAGCGAATCAAACTGCGCCCGTGTAGTGATATAGTATCCTCCATTGTCAAGTTTTCTGATTTTGTAGTGTTTCACATTATCACTTCTTACTTCATCCCAATCTCGAATGGAGAGGGAATATGCTCCTATGGAGATACATTGAAGAACACAAGATATTTGTTAAACCCATTAACATTTTCCTTTTTTTTTTTTTACATCTTAGTGCTAAACTCAGCCAGCCTCTTTGCAGCCACTTTCTGTCTAATTGTATGCATGCCATTGTTTAGAGCATGAGTCCTGATAGTATTAAATGGTTGACCATGTCTGCGCAATGAACATCTTAAAACAGAGGTAAGCACAGTATGCAAGTATGCACAGCATAACAGCACATTAGGGGAAACTTACCTTCCAAACTTAGTTTGTCCACCTTGTTATATGAGATTTTAGGGACTACTTTAAATTAATGAAATACACTTGATAAACGGCTATGAAAAATACAAATAAAATGTTTAAATTGATTACCTTTAGTGGTTTCACTTTCCCTTACTAAGAATGTTCCTCTCTGGTTCCCTGGGTTGAGGAGCAATCTTTCAGCATCTTTTCTACCCATTTTCCCAAAATACCATCTGGGAAAAAAAAAATGCATAACATTGATATTACCAGTCCCTGGATGCATGCAACGGAATACACACATCATTTTTTATGCAAGGTATTCTGCAACTTATTACAAAAGCGGAATTAAAATATGCACAAAGCCCACTCTCCCATCATAAATGGCAACCTCTATAGGGAAAAACCCCCCAAAACTATAGTTTATATACTTACATTACCCACAGCTATCACAATCCCAGGGAGGGGACACTAATATATTAAGTGGACCTTGCATTTTTACTTCTAGGTTGGCTTTACCCCATAAGGACCACGGTGCATAGTATGTCATTGGCACGGCCTGTAAACAGACTCTGTTTACCTTTGTAAAGCAGGCTCTAAATGGTACCCTAATGCGTGTTCCTTTTAGCTCACTACAATGCAGAGACCTTCAGTGTATTATGGTGGTACAGGTAGGTTTTTTCCTACACTGCCAGTTCATTCAAAATTTAAGGGCTGCCTTAATGAATGAAAATGTGTGAATGGGCCCTAATAATCTGCATTTCATATGGATAAAACAGACATGTTTTTAAATTGATCATGTAAATGCACTTAGATTTATAACACCTCCCACTTTATCCAGATATAAATGCTTTATTTGACAGAAGGCAGCATGTGTAAATCCTATTATAAAAAGTCTACCTTGGCTCCTATAACCGTGTACTGATGTGATAGCTCTTAATAGTTTCAAGCCATTACTTGCTATCAAGTTTTGCTTGTCCTTGGGTGTCTTTGCTTTACTTTTTGGATTATTTTGGCGGGAGGGGACGTCATAAGGGGTGTTCTGCACTGTGTGTGATATGTGCATATATATATATATCTGCTTACTTGCATACAGTATAGCATTGTCCCTATGTTGTCCTGGGGAAGGGACCCTGCAATGCCCTGAAACGTTGGCTTGACTGATGTGAAGCATTATCAATAAATGAGAGTACTTTTGCACCTATAAGTACTGAGTGCTGGTGGTGACTTCTTATTTGTTTGCACTTAAGTCTCCAGCAACCAATTTAATAGTTTTCATCACAACTATTAGTTAAAATCTAGGTTCACTTATCCATTAAAAATGTAAGCAGTACAAATCTTACTCTTCAGCCTGTATGGAGTCCGCAGGAGCAACATAGTTACTGGGAATATAACCAGTTTTTCCAGTGGCTATAGATCTTGCTTCCCACCAGTCTCCTTCTCTGTAAAAGAAAATGATTGACAAATAAATACAATAAAATCACATTTATATCACAGAAAGCACAGGAGGCGCTTTACATTTATTTTGGAAATAGTTCCCATTAAAGCTAAAGCTTACCTCTATTATTCTGGTGATCAAAGGCCACCTTCACACAGGCTACATGTAGAAGCTATATTACAGTCATGCTATATTTAGTGTGTTGATCATGTATTTTTTTTATTTAAAAAAAAAAAAAAAAAAAAACATGTAAAAAAGGAACCCATTCCAACAACATGTAATCGTTAATAAAACTCTTATTTTAGCACACACCGATCTAAAATCATAAAAACATGCAGCATGTACAAACGTCTACTTTAAATCGACAATTGCCTTTTCCTATCCACATCCCATTAACCATCTAAATCATTACAGATTAAATCAGATGGATGTCACATCCTACTTGAGTATGTATTACACATTATATTGTAGTAGCGGTAGTTGGATTTAATAGACATGACACGTTTCACTGACACTTTCGCTTCATCAGGAGTATATGAGACATTGGTAGAATGCGAAAACTATCCTGGGACTGAAGATTTGGACAATTCTGTTAAAAGTCTGGTGGGCAAACGCACAGATACCAGTCGATAATTCCATCCCATCAGAATCAATGCTGACAGAACCAAAGACAGCCACCGCATTTATACAACACTATATTCCTCCATTGAAATTAATGAACGATGGACAGATCTTCACATTGATAGAACAGTGGAAAGGTGTGGGGAAGGAGGGTGCGCCTCCTCCCCACCCGGTCTGCAGTAGTCAAGAAGCTGAAAGGCAGTTTTGTTATTCATGCCAAGAAAGGTACTTTGTTACTCAAAATAGTAATGTGACTTAGTAATGGTGATGTGTACTACGAATTCCTGGGAAGTGTACATTTTCATGGTATATCCACTTCACAGCAAGGTGCATAGGACCACATGTTTCTATTATGAATTTTCAGCCCTAGTCCTGCCGACTCCGCCAAAATTCAACTTGTTTGTGTGGCCCTGTTGGCACCCTCCTGCTCACCAAAGTCACCGATTCGTCTTTTGTCGAAGGAACTGGTCCAAATCTCTCAACCAAATAGTGACTGCACCCTATCAGTTCTGGTATTCTGACAACGGCACACTGTTGGGTATTCTGAAGATGGGGGGATTCCACCATGTTTAGCACGGATGTGAGGGGGTGCAAGCGCTTTTTTCTTGTTCAGCTTGCAGGCGTTAGAACGCAGCTGCTGGTGTGTTCTGTCACACCCCCATAGGTTGAAAACAGCGACACGGCACTGTAACCTTTCTTTTTTGACAGAACTTTATTCAAATGTCACAAAGTAACATTTTATTTTGTTCTATTGTTCTCAGCGCAGTGTGATGGATTGCATTGCACCACGCTGTACTACACAATATTGCAGAAGTACTTATTTTAGCATGCACCACCGTAACGTGGTGATGTGAACTGCGCTGGTTGTAAGCCAAGCTTTTTGTCTTGTCTTTTCATTGCGACTGTGCTGGGCAAAGTTGCCCAACACAGCTGGTGTGAACGTGCCTTTCAAGTGGCATGGATGCAACCAGTATTAACACAGCTTACTTATTTTATAGGTTTGAAAGGTTATACTTTAAATGTCTTCTTGTTTACTAGCAGCCCGCAGAGTTCACATCGACGTTAGATACATTTTTAAAGGTAATACATTGTCAAGGAATAGCGTAATTTTATACTAACACAAAATATAAAGTATACCGCTAGCAGCAGCATTAAGGCCATTTTAGTAGAGATCAATATTGACTAGCCGCTGCTTAGCTGTATGTCATGCTATGATACATTCGGAGAAACAGCGATTTCCCCTGTGGTGTACAATTGATGTATTAAGGTGTGCCCTGGCTGAATCAGAACACTGTCATTAATTTCAGCCAAACTAACAATTCTAGGAGAATGGATCTTGCATTAATTCAAATCCCAGTTATCGCATACTGAATATCTATACATGTTTAGGCAGATTATACAGTAAAAAGAACTGCACATACACAAATATATTTACAACAGCACACAGTAAGTCACACTTGGAAATGTTGAGCATTCATACGTGTATACAAGATAAACACTGGCAGAGGATTCTGTCATGACTTACGTGTTATTAATTATTTGGAATCTTTCACCCTTCCTAAAAGAGAGATCTTCTGATGTCCTAGCTTCATAATCATATAAGGCAACAAAAACAGTAACACCACCTACAATAAAAAAAAATGAGATCAAAAGCAGAACACAGTGGATATTCTTCAAAAAAATCCCTTTTGTTATAAAAGATATTTCAATACAGGACATTGGAGTCAGATCCAAAATAACTCGACTGTAACTAGGTCACACATAAAAGTATATAGGTGTACAGCATATACTCAATAGGGCAAAAATGAATGGTTTAATCAGAATGGATCTGTCCTACAAAAAAACATTGGTTTAATTAATTAAGTTCCCATTCACACCAGGACGATGCGCGGTTTTGTAGCGTATTTTACAGGCATTTTCTGTTCATATGTCAGCTCATTTTTGAAACTCGTTTTCAGTTGCCCAATGAGCAGCAGGCTCTGCTGCTGAAACGCATGGAATGGCACAAAAAATATGCACGTTTCCATTGAAGTCTATGGAGCAAAGGTGATCGTGTCAGGGAGAGGGAGCCATGGCTTCGTTTAGCGGGGGTCGTGACGGCGCCCCCCCTCAGTCCTGCGCCCGTGACCCCCCCGCACCCTCGGTTGTTACGCCACTGCATGCATGTACAACCCTCAAAGACATGTATGGGATTTTATTTGCATTTGTTTCAGTGCGGAAAAATCCGCAATGGTGTGAACGGGGCCTAACATAGCTGCAACTCAATCCAGAACTTAGTATGAAATACAACTACTCACATCAACCTTTGTGAGTGATGGAGATAACTTAACATCCCTATCAATGTTATACGCACACTAGGCACAAACATGGTAGAAGTGCTACGATGAAGGCCCAGCAAGGCTAAAACATGTAAGTAAGTGAGTGTTGCTTTTTTTAAATATATGGTATAAAAAAATAAAGATCTATTAGGAGAAGATTCCTTGTGTGCTGCCATCTTGTTGTAAACTGATTTGAATCCTCAAAAGGTGGATCGTGGCTTTGCACCATGGTGGTTAAGTACAGAGTATAATGAGAGGTCAGGGCGGTAAATCCCAGGACTGATACTATGAACTGGTAGCAGCCTGAAACTACATACATTATGGATATAGACTGCGATAAAGGATATACTGGGAACAAATGGTCCAACCTAGACGCTGGGTAGAAAGTAATGAAAGCAAAGCTGAAGAAATAAAAAGGTGGAGGGGAGAAACTGCCATTGCCAACTTGTTTTTAATAGTCAAGGTTCCAGGGATCATCTGAAATCGATGGCTTTTCCACATGGTGAGACACTGACCTGGTACAAGCAACTGAACTTCCTTCCCGAGTACATATTCCAGGTTAGTGACTCATTCAGTTGTGCAGCCAGGATCAGCGTTGGGACATATACCTTTAAACCAAATTAGCAATGGCATATTTCCATCGTCATGGGTGCCCATTTATACTTCTATTGCCAATGGCCTCAAATACCAAAGCAGAATGTTGCAGCCAGCTATTCTTCAGTCGCATAACTGCCCATGCCACACACGTCTCTCTTTTTCCAAGCATTGTTGCGGAGCCAAGTGCAGTTAATTCCCACGGCAGTTAATATCTATTCACAACTGTTCAGGAAATTCTGATACACTTCAATCAGAAGACGGAGCCAAGAGATGTAAATCAGTGTACTACTGAACTTCTGAATAGAATCAGACACATACCAAGCACTTCATAATGCATGTCAGTCAATCTTCTTTACCCCCCCGAATCTGATCATTTATTCATTATCAAAATGTATATATGGTGTCTGTCTGCAAATGAGAGAAGTGTGTTTTTTCAAACTGCTGTATAAAGAAGCATAAAGCAACATTTTGGCAAATAGCAAACTACTTTCTCAGCTGCATATTTCACCAGTGTGTTAACGTGATGCATCAAGTACAATGCAGTGTGTTGTGGGACCATTTAATTTTAATAGCACCCAACACATCTGCATTTTAGGAAACCACAATGCACTCATGCAAACCATCTGCACGTTGTGGTGCGCTGCATGGAAAAAAAATGTGCCAAGTCTTGTCTTAGTGCGTTGCAGAGCTTTTGACAGTCCATTTAAAATTACCGAGATGCACTTCTATGAATGAGTACAGTCAATCAGTGGCGTAACCAGAGTTATGGGCATCAATAATTATGATTTACACACATCTTCCACACTGGACAGCTAGGCATGCAACACATATCATTCCTAACAGATCAGCATAGGATTACAACAGTCACTGCCTTTAGCAACTTAGATTTATCAATTTCACTTATTGACAGATTTGGCTAAAATATAATTATGAGAAAATTAAACATAAGATGCAGTTTGTCAATAGAGTTGAGGTGTATCTAAAGCCATTTTTTAAGCTTAGGATAGAGTGGGGAAGGGTTAGAACTACGGATGCACCAAAATTAAATTTTTAGACCGAAACCAAAAATTTAAACATTTGTCAGGCCGAAACAGAAAATTATTTTTTTTACCAACCTTTAAAAAAAATAATTATATTTTAATTATTTCATTTTTTTTACTGTACTGTTAGGGGCTTTGGGGAAATATCATGGGTCTAAAGAGAACCCTGATATTTCCTTTTAAAAATAGAAAAAGATTGGGGACAGAGTCCTCAGTCTTTTTCCGCAGGCCCAGCACTGAATGAACAGGAAGATCTCATTATAAAGGTTTTCTGTTCATTGATAATCATCTGGAGATAGTAAATATTTACTACTCATGAATGGACAGGAAGCCTCTATACTAAGCTGCTTCCTGTTAATTCATAAAGGGAACAGATAGTAAATAATTTACTATGTCCCCATTCATGAATAAACAGGAAGTGATGTTTAGCACATCCTGTTTATTTATAACTGGGGACATGGTAAGCTTACTATATCCTCAGTTATTTACAAACACTCAGTGATCAGTACTGACCGCTGAGTGTTTGTGCCCTGCTCTCCATCCTGACTGCTCTGCCTGTCACAGGAGCGGAGCTCTACACATGCACCACACCACTTGGCCTCCTGACAGCCGGGCACTGGTTGCTGGATTGGCTCTGTTTCCCCTCCGATCCCCGCTTGCTCTGCTGATACATGCAGGGGAGAGCAGCAGAGATTGGAGGGTACACAGACTGAAGCTTGCAGCTGGCACCCAGTGGGGAGGAGAGAAACTAGGGATGGACCACATTTTCGTCCGTCTTTGTACTATCGGCGTTTCGCCCATAGTACCATTTTCAGCCGAAGTTTCGGCAGCCGAAATTGCAGTGCATCCTTAGTCAGAACCACTGTCAGGTGGTACTCTTGTCTGATACCCCTTTAGAGAGATTTTCCCTCACGTTCTGCTCTGGGGACAACCGTTTGCCAGACAGGAGGTGAGAGAATATCTGGGGAAACAGACAACAAATTAAAGCAGATAGTGAATCTAGCAATCCCCTACTTAAATTTTAAGTTTCCTTCACTTCCGGTCTTGCGAAAGTTGTCCCTGTGACAGGAATAAGAGTAAATCTCTCTAATAAAGTAACATCAGGCAGGGGTTCTAATCCTCCCTCCCTTTATCCAAAACTAAAACAAACCGCTATAATTACACTTTAACACAGCAGTTGTTTCAGCGGTCACAAACTGGCACTGTCACCTTGGGGAAGGGACCCTGCAAGGCCCCAGAACCTCTTGTCTCACCGTCTTCACAATGGAACATGTATAATGTTTTTTTTCTGGTGTGATGACTTTTTGCTTTCTAATTTGTATCTACTCCCGTACATGCAGCTTGGATATGATAACTGAGAGAACTAAAAGTTACAGCATAAACACCAAAATGGCAATAACACTAGACAAAAAAGTGTCTAAAGATTTGCACCATGAGATACCCATCAGAAGTAATATCAGCTTACCCGTCAACCCTCCTGGGTAAGGAACTGGCACTGGTGAAAAGATAGAAGATGCTCCTCCAAAAGGAGTTATTCCAGACGAACCTCCGAACGGCGTCATGGAATGACTGTTAAAATTAGCAGAGGGTCCTTTGACTGCCGGGGACTGTGCAACTTGTGTTGGGTCATTGCCAAACTGGCTCATAGGATCTGGCTTAGGTTCTGTTCTGTATTTTATTGATGGACCTTTGTCCTCCTTACTCTTAATACAGCCCATTATACCTGTAAAAGAAAAGAAAGTGTGTTTAGATAAATCTCTAGGCAGTATACTTAAATAGCTGTATTGCTAACTGGTTGCTGGATTAAAAGGTTACAGTCTGAAAGAATATACTGTATAGTCTTTTCAATGTTTTTTTTCAAATAAACTTGGCAGAGATGGCATGATGTAAAGCAGCAGAATGATGTCACATCTAATTGTCCCTCTGCCCTCTTCTCCTATCACCATGCTCCTTTCTTAGCACATGAGCACTACAGCACAATCAACTGGATCCTTGTGCTGCTTTTCCCTCTCCAAGTCTAAGCTCTGATGTACGGGGATGCAAGAGGTGTATATCAACGCAGATGAGGGGGCTTGCACTTACAAATGTACAATAAAATATGTATTATGTATACAGAGCTGCATTCATTTTTGTATTAATGTATTTCATATCTACAGTGTTGCCCCCCTTTGCTTAGGGCTGCCAGACTACAAGTTACCCTGGACGAGGGAACTTCAAAAAAATATTATTAAGAATGTCACTGTGAGCTGCAGTATCTGGGGAGGGGGAGCATGCGAGACACACACACAAATAAAAATAAAAAGGAGGATTTGGCTCAGCTAGGGAAGGGAAAATGAAATGTTTTTGTCTAATTTATGAGAAATAGGCATCACATTACTGCATAACTGGGTTGTATACTTGTTTAGAACGTCAAACACTGCTGATTGACAGGTTTGTGAATCGGGAGGGACGGTGCCGATAGTCACACTCCCTAAAACATTTTGGTCACATTAAGTTCAGCATAGACATCTGGGAGGGGCTGTGAGCCAATTATAGGTGCAGGGGAATTCAGATTCTAAGAAATCATTGTTGCAAACTAAATACTGCTGACAACACCCCCCCTCCCCCCCCAGAAGTGAGTTTTCATCAGGTATAGAAAATCATGGTTGACTGTAGAATAAAATGGAAATACATTCATTTAAGTAGCACTAAATGACAACCATGTGTTCTAAAAACGTTTAGTGAAATGTTTTCCTTTAAGACTGTGATAGACTGTGATGGTCATATGGTAGAAGATAACTGCAATCTGTGCTAGGCCGGGACAAGGAAGAAGCTGCCATCTACATCAGAAGACTTCAGAACGAGGGAGGGTTTAAGTAACAAAAGATTGTCTTCATCCTGCACAAGGAAAGGGGTGTAGGGGTAATAAAGTGGCACTGATAAGTCAGGTATGTAGTTGTATTGAATTAAAAAGGGATATATTATATAAAAGTGATACATTTCGAAACCCCAACCAATGGAAAGATCTAGGTCTGTGTCTGCAGCATTAGTTCAGCATCGTTTTACACAAGCACAATATACAGCTCTCTTTTAAAGAGATGAACACTATAAAATGCATAAACTTGGCAGAGTTTTATATTTTTTGTGCCCTGATAAAGTAGTTTTAAAGCAAACTTGTGAGCTAGGAATGAGGAGATGAGCCTAAGATTACACTAAAACTGCAAGCTAAACCCTGCAATAATTAAGACCATCTGTCCTGATGTCACTGAAGCAGAGGCTAAACAACTCCATAATCTCTGTCTGCCAAGGGGAAACTTTCCAGGGACTTGCTAGGGTGGATAACATCCCCACACATGGAGGAAAATCATGTATTACAAGACAGCTATCAAACGGTTCAAGTGCAAAGCTGTAACGGCTCCACTATATACTTTAGAGTTAAACACAAAGTTATATTAGGTTCACACACACTCAACTAGTAAAGAAATTACAAAGTGCTAACCAATGGCTTTATTGATGCATTGTTTTGGTATATAAATGGAGGTAGTGAATTAAAATTCAAGGAGTTCTGGTGAGGAAACACAATAAAATTGTGTTTTCCCGACACCCAAGCACACCAATCTCACATACAATAAAACATTACTTTTATTTAATACATTAAAATGTTTTACTTGGTTGTTAGGAATGCTGCGGTCCTAACAACAAATGACTGAGGAATGGAGACCCAGCACAGGTTGTGGATGGCGGTCTGTACGTGACTGCTGCTTGGTCTGAGTCCGGACCGAGGTCCGCCATTTGGGGACCACTGGTATATAGAAACAATCAGGGTTGTGGAATTCCTATCGCCGGACACCCAGGACATACAGTTTTGGGCACCGGGCAGGTGTTTTTTTTTTTAAATGTAGAGCGGGGGAGACGTTTTGTGCGGCTGTGTGGCCGATTTGAGCGGCTGTAATGCACTTGTAATCAGCCTGCTTGTCCGTCGCAGTCACTGAGTGTTATTGTTAAACAGTAAGAACTAAGCAGGATTTGTCCATCCTCAAATTTCCAGAAAACTCCATCCAAAAAAGGTAAGCTCCAATTTTTAATTTTTTAACCTCTGTATTAAAGTCCGTAACAATTCAGTAGCTCTAAATTCTGTGGTGTTGATGAGACACATGCAGGTATTTTTCCACAGTCAAGACTACAGCCCTTCCTGAAGCTTGGAGAACAAATGATATGAGTCACCAAGTTTTATAGCCAGAGCCTGATTCTGCCTGGAATTGATGAGCTTCGTCATTCTAACAATTGTAGGGCACACAAGCAATTACTAAGTCCTCTGTTTGGGTGACCAAACCAATACTTCCTGCACATGCTTGTTGCTAGCAGCCAAAAAATTATTTCATCAGCTGTACCCTTCTGTATTTTCTGTTCCATAAACAGTGGACGTCCTACTCTGAAAGTCTAATATGATTGGAAGTTGAAACAAAGTTAAACAATGGGCCAGCTCGCACTACTGAATGGCACCCCGCCATCTGCTCTGCAATGCAACACACCATCATGCGCTGCCTTCCCAAAAAAGGGTCAGGTACAGCGTCAGTCTTAGCTAGGATTATGTGCCTTGGCATCACACTCAAAAAGACTTTGTACAAATGCTCAACTGCTGCAAGGTTTTTTTTATACAGAGGATGCCTGCCAGGGGGCCCCTGTTTTGTGAAAAGCTGCTGGAACTGAGCCACCAGGCCCAAATATTGCACCTATTCAACAAAAGAATGCTCATGGCCCAAAACCTCATCCCTACTCCCCTTGCATTCAAAATGAATGGCTGCCTTAATTCGACACATGGTGTGTTAACGTACTGCACAAGTGTGAAGCCAGCCTACTGTCAAATGCCATTGCTGAATGGGTTTAAGTCATTTACTAAGTAAGAAAACATGTGGCATGAGTGGTTGGAAGGTTTTGTTTGAGAAAAAAAAGTTGACTGTCACCAGTTTAACAGTCAAAATGATTTACACCGTGCAAATCGATTATAATCGATTATGTCGATTAGTTGTTGCAGCCCTACAGCTGACATCACGGTTTCAAATCCTTTAAATCAGTGGATTTAGCTCCTCTTTAAAGGGTTAGTTCAATTTTAAGGTTTTGTTTTCAAAAAGCTATTAACGTTACATCTTACAATGCAAATTAAAATGCTGCCTTCCATTTTTTAAAATGATACTTTTAATGCTGCTCGGGTGGGCTCCCCCTCTGTGTCCAACTACATGGCAGTACAGACACGGATGTGGGGCCCCAGCTCCTCAGGAGAATAGTACTTGTTCATGGAGGAGCCGGGGCCACGCATCCAACAGTTGGTCCATCTTTTCATGTAGTCAGGATGGAAAGGGCGGAGGCAACATTTTAATACTGTATGCATTGTAAGACGTAACGTTATTGGATTTTTAAAAAACAAAAACATTAAAAAGGTGAACTAGCCATTTAAAGAGGAGCTAAACCAGGGGTGGGCAAACTCCAGCCCTCCAACTGTTGTGGAAGTACAAATCCCATGAGGCATTGCAAGATTCTCACAGCCACGACTCCCAGAGGCAGATGCATCATAAGATTGGTAGTTACACCACAGCTGGAGTCTGCCCACCCCTGAGCTAAACCCACGGATTTAAGGGTTAGTTCACCATATGCAGTTGTGATGCAGTCCGTTCAGTTTGGCTGCTGTAGCCAAAATACATAAAAATGCTTTCTTGTGGGCTTTCTTGTGCTGTATTCACACCATGGCAGGCCGATGCAGTCAGAAAAAATACTGCTCGTCCTATTTTAGCTGCATCGGATCGCACCGGAACGCATCCCCCCAAAAAACCCACACAGAAATGATTGTGTCATCATCCAGGGACTTCCTCTTTGTAGGTAGAAGAGATAGTGGAGCCATGGCTGATGTGGATGCGGACATCTTTATAAAATATTTGGAGGACTGTCCACTGCTCTATGATCCCAACTATAAAAATAAATCGGCAGAAGATGGGAAAATGGAGGGAAATAACTGCCAAGCTATACACCGATTGTCTAATTAGCATTTTATTTAAAAAAAAAAAAAACACATCAGAAAGCATCACAAGCATGTGACCTAACCCTAAAGGTTTCCCAAAAGAGTTACATTCAAGGCAAGCCTCTGTCGAGAACGGTCACAGTCGCCAATATGCTTATGTCAGCTCCGAACTTTCAAGACCTCAAAAAGCTGGTGTCTTAACTAATCGTTGGTAAATCCTGGAGTTCTGTTTTAAGCAAATCCCTTTGAATCTCTTACAAAATGTCTTACCTAGAGACTCTGCCAGTAACAGCACTTTCTGATGCAGGCAAATAATGCCAAGCCACTTCCTCAAAATTATCGGTAGTTTTGTCAGCTTTCCACATGTGCTACTTCAGTTGGCAATGGGGCCTATTAGATTGGACGAGCAGCCCAAAAATAAAAGTGCAGAATGCATAAACATATCTCAATAATGTTAAGAAATCTGGTCTCCGACATTACAATATTAAACATTTCCAATTAACAATAATATGAAAATACCAATTTGAGAATGTCAAAGTAAATCCAATGATCATGCCATCTCTATATGTGTATTTGTTTTTAGCATAGACCAGAGCCTGGTTTTATAGCAGAGACCAAAGCCGTACTTCAAAGATAGTGTGCACACTATTTGCAGCATGGTACTGAAGAACACAGTACTGAGGCTAGACATTTAAGAAGCTTATGTCTAATCAGAAAAGCCCTCACCATAC